AGCAGAATCTAGAGAGAGGTCAGAGCGAAGTCTTAGAGAGAAGTCAAATGGAAGAAAGTGACAGAAACTAGAGGGGGGAGGGGTATTTAAAGGAAAGGAAGACCCCAGCCAAATCTCGCGCCGCGCGCCACGTGTCAACACCACGGGCGGGCTCTTCAGCTTCCCCCACCTTTTCACTTTTTTGAAAATCCCGAAATTCAAATTTCGAACTTACGTGCCAATATCACGGGCGGACTTTTGAGCTTCCCCCACCCTTTACTTTTTTGGAAATTTCCAGAATCCCAATTTCGAATTTTCTTTTAATTCGAAATTTCAATTTCCCTGGCAAGCAAAGCGTGGGGACCACGTCAAAATCCCCCCGTGAGGGGGGCATAAGGGTTAGGGACATTCATCACGATGAACTCCATGAAGGGGCGCCCATGGATCACAAAGAGGAAGCGCACAAAACAGGGAGCATCAACAAAGGTTGGGGTCGGCAAGGACGCCCACAAACCACGAGAAGGATAACAAAGAGGAAGCGCACAAAACAGGGAGCATCAACAAAGGCTGGGCGTCCACAAGCGAAGAATGGTCGGCAAGGACGCCCACAAACCACGAGAAGCATAAGAATACAAAGGAGGGCACCATAGAAAGTAGGCGTCTATAAAGAAAGAGGATACAAGGCCGCGACAAGAGAACCAGCCAGGCGCTCAAGGGCTAAACCATGAGCACCTGACTGTGGGGGCAATTGTTGGGGGTACTACCCAGCAGTTAATGGTCTGGGCCCACAAAAAGTAGAATTGGGGGGCAAGGCCCAAAAATGGTTCCACTAAAAACCACTAGGCCCAAGCAAAAGGAAGGGCCCAAAAGGACAAAACACTAAAAGCCAAGAGGAGACCAGCTGTCAGGTGGTCCACTGCCTGTGGGCGCCTGTCGCGTGTCAGAAGACTGACAAGGCAGTTGGATGTCTGACAAAGAGGGCACAGAGCATTAAATTGGGACAGTGACGTGGAAGAGATCAACCTCGAGTTCGGTGAGTATAAATAGGGGCAGTTGGTAGTATTTACACAGGTTGGACTCTCTCACTAAAATTACTACTCGAGAACACTTCTTTCTCTAAGAAACTAACTTGGGCGTCGGAGGATTAACGGGCCCAGGCGCCCTCCTCTTTGTGAGTGCAGGCAGGCGCCGGATGAAGTGAAGCTCTTGGTGCACCGTAAGGGATTGCGGCTCAAACAATAATTTACCTTCTCGTTCTTCCTTTGCAAGGCCGTCTTGATACATTCTCGTAAAGTACGTACGTACAATGCGCAAGTTCCATTCTTTTGAATATCCTTTTGTGCCCGAAGGGATCGTCTACAGCTGTGAATCTTTGAATTGAGAGCATTTTCAACATTCACATTTCGAAGATGGGAATGAATACTACTTTGTGGATGATTTGTAAAAGTGTAATTGTAAAATTGTTAAAAAAACTGAATGGCTAAACCTCGCCCTAACTTTATTAATATCGCCCTAATTCAAAAATGGAAATGACATAACTATCCATAAACAAACATAATAAAAATTTACGAAATATAAAAATTACTTCACTGCCATTGTCCCATCTTGGACCTCCGCCTGCCTCCGCCGCTGATTTTCTCCGCCAGCAGAGACCACCCTTTCCCTCCGCCTCTTTCCTGCCATCACCCTTCTCCTCTAGCCACAGTGTATATATATTGAAGCCACAAATAACCAAAGAAGCCAAACATGATAACCCCACTGCTCCGCTACCTACATGTGAATCTCGGATATGCAGTCCCCACCCCATAAAAAAGCCAGATTCACACTAACACTAGGGGGCAGATGTTTGATGCGGTTATGGAAGCGGCAAGCCTCAATGACTCTCGTTAAACTAGTATGTTTTGACTTTTGAGAATGATCAAGATGGATTTTATCTTCTTCGTTCTAATTCGGATTAATTTTTTTTTTTTTTTGCACAGATGGAACAAGTTTGTTGTGCTCTACAAAATTAGATCAATTTTCAATATATTTCGAGAATTTTTTTTTCACACCACCCGTTGCCAACTACATACCATATGGTAACTTCTTCGTTTCTAAGTCGTTTTTGAAAACGTTTGCTCAGAAGGAACGAGTTCATCATGATCTATTGGATCTACAAATTTCTGAGTGAAAAAAATACTAGACAAAAAACTACCATACTTTACCTCTATGGTATGTGGATGGGAGCTTGTGGTAACTTGTAGTAAACAATGATGAAAGTCGTAAATGACACTTAGTATACTCCTACTATCATGTATTCAACCTTCTTACCATATTGGTATGTTCATGCCATCATGGTACGCTTTTTACATATAGTATTAAATAGAAGCATACCATATGGTAATTACTCGTAAAAAATGACTCAATTTTTTTTGTACTAAAAATATATCGTGGATATCATTTTAAATAGCACATTTAATCTGATTTATCTGTGCAAAAAAAATTAAATTTCGACTTAAAACGAGAAAAGATAAAAAAAAATTCAGAAGAGAGAGGGAAGCTGATGTGGACGGGTTACTCATGGTTACTCACCATAAACTTACTGACATTATCCGCTCCTCTCACCCGATAACGGCTCGGTTTGGCCCTGCTGTAGTTTTTGCATAAGCAGCTTCTGGCTTGAGTTTTTAGAGAAATACTTGTCAAAAAAAGCAGTTGAGTGTTTGGTTGAAAATTTATTAAAAGCGCTTTTTAATATGAGAGGTTGTGTAAAATGATCGTAAATGACTTATAATATAAACTATGAATAATAATTCTAAACAATAAAATGTAGTCAAAATGGATCTTGTTAGACTTCTTTTATATTAAATAATATGATTTTATACTTTATTTTATTCTTAAAATGATATAAATAAAATAAAATTATATTTTCTGAAATAAAATTAAAATATGGCAAGGATAATCTTGTATTTTCAAAACAGCTTTTCGCAGAAGCTAAAAATCGGAGCTTCTACTTTTATGTTATACAAAAGCGTTTTTCGGTTTTTCAAAAGCCAAACTTTTAGAGGTATTTGACCCTACTTCAGCTTTTGAAACCGAAAACCACTTCTAAAAACCGGGCAAACATAGGCAAGGTAACCAACAATAATTCTCTTCTCAGCCTACTCGGTGCCTTATATCACCTGATCACTACCAGAATTAGTAAACTGAAGCGTCACTTGCTTCATGAACTACGGTGAGAGATTTTGAATCAAGTTCAATGCTTGCAAATTTTGGAGTACCATATTCCTCTAAATTAATTAGCAAAAAATATTAAATAAAAACAATTAGTATCGTGCTTCTTACCCACAAATAGAATTCACCACAACTCAAATTAAATTCAACAAACAAATTCCCCCACCCCCACCAAATTTATAATAACCCAAATCAATTACCAATAGGAATGGCATGCCGAGATCTATCAATATTTCCTTATCCAACCCAATTAATTAGGATATAAAACTTGGATTTTTCTTTAATCCAAATTTTTGGGTTTATACCATAGTCATATGCAGATTATAAGCATAGGTGGAGGAAGGCCCTTTGGGCCTTGTCCCAGTATAGTAGTAAATTTTGGAGGAACAAAAATACGTCATATATATTTATATTGGTAAGAACACAACACCTATAAATAATACTAGAGTATTTTGTCACTATACCACAACTCATTATTTGTTCAAAAATTAATATTAAATTAATTTATTATAATATAAACGAAATTTCAATTACAATAAAGACATAATCGGATAGCTTTTCTCCTTATACCTATTCAATCTTTTTCCCAAGGACCCTAAAATTGTCTAGTTTTGATTCTGCCAATTAGAACTGCAAGTGTAAAAAGACCACTTTCAGCTTCGAGTTATATTAAAAATAGTTTCATAGTCAATTTGGCGACTAGTTTGCTAATACTTCTTTAGTGAGATATATGGAAAAAGACTTATTTAATAGTAGACAACGAGCGTTTATTTCACAATATGAAATCCATTCATATGATTGTTTATGAACATTATTGTATAGTTGATTATTTTAAATCTATGAATAAATTATGTGAATATAATGAATTTTTATTAAATAGTTATATATTTAAGTTATGAAAAAGACATTGAAAAAAACTTATTTAATAGTGTAGATAACAAATATTTTTGCGTTTCTTTCACAATATAAAAATTGTATAGTCGATTATTTTTAATAAATAAATTATGTCAGTATAATTAATTTTTATTAACTGATTATATATTTAAGTTATGAAAAAAGTTTTTGAAATGCTACCTCCGATGCCTCCGCCAGACCGCCACTATAAAGCCACTCATTATAGTACTCCTGCTCATTTATTTGATTTGAGTTGGTTTTTTCTTTAATCCATGAATTTAAATTTGTATCATAGTTTTCCACATCTAAACTTAATAGATATATTAGATTTACTGATTTAGTATCTAAATTTAATTTTCTTGTATATACATCCTAAAAATAACAAAAAATACATCTGATATTGTGTGTAGTTAAAAATTGTGCATCTCATACCCATAATATACTTATACTCTCTACCTACTCTGCTACTCATACTCAATGGGTTTAATTGAATTTGGATTTATCGTACGTACCTCCTGCTTTGGGTTCCACACTGCATTGTTTTGATGCCTAAGCTCACTCAAACCTATGCATCTAAATCGGCTTTCGACTACATTATCTTATGGATCAGATCAGATCGGATCACATGACCAACAATGTCAGTCCGACCTCCGACCCAACAGAGTAAAGCACAAACTTTTCTTATAGAAAAGAAAAATAAGAGAAATGAAAACAGATCATGGAAGGGATACAAAAACTCTCCACAAATTTACCAGGGCAACTGCAACATTGATAAAATAAAATAAAAAGGTTAGTGAAAACCCAAGTGACCCGACCCGACACCATTCTAGCAACCAACCCGCCAACGTCGGTCGAACCGGCCCCTAAAATCACAAATCAAAATCCAAAAGCCCCGAATCGCACAGTCCGTTCAATCAAGCACCAGGAGCAGCATCCTTCACCCTGCTCTGCAAGTACCCGCCGTACTCCCTCGCATAATCCTTGACATGTGCCGCCGTATCATATATCCGGCTCCGAGCGTAATCCACCCGGTCCGACCCGACCGGGTGCATGCCCCTGTAGTACCTGTACCCCCACGCCAGCCCGCCCGCCGTTGCGACCAGCGCCACGAACCCCGCGGTGAGGACGAAGGCGAACGCCGCGAGCGGGACCCACAGCGGGCTGGTGACGATGAGGAGCGGGGCGAGGAAGATGAGGGTGAGGAAGGCGACCGTGACGGTGACGCCGGTGAGCAGGAGGAGGATGGAGCCGGTGATGAGGAGGGTGAGGAGGCCGAGGAGCTGCGACGACGGGGCGGCGTTGGTGGGCAGAGCGAAGCGGCGGATCCAGCCCTGTACTCTGTGGAGGAAGGCGGCGGGAGATGGGGTGTAGTTGGGCCTCGGGTAGCTGCCGGCGCTGCTAGCCATGGCTTAACTATGTCAGTGACTGCTAGAGAGAGAGAGAGAGATGGGTTGGATGGATGGAATTTGGAAGAGGTTAAGTTAAGTGAACGGGTTTTGACGGGAGAGAAAGAGATGTTACCATACCACAAAAGAAAAGGGGAAGAGGACAGATGTTGATAATGACTCAAGTCCTGGATGACATGCAATGAACACACGTGGACAGTAGTGGGCTACTGTTTCCCAGAACAATAAACAACGAAAATAACACAGGATGGAATCAGATGGAATTTTAGGGATTTTAATTTTGAATCACAGAGAAAGGGAAGACTGATGAATGATGATACAGCAAATTGAATCGAGAAGAGGAAAGCTAAGGGCTCGTTTGCTTGTTGGATTTGAAATTGAAGGTTTTGAGTTTTAAAAACCTTTGGATTTATGATGGATTTGTTGCATCATGGATTTGGAAGAGTACATTGTTTGTTTTAGTTGATTTTTTATCATGGATTTGTAATGGATTTGTCTCACATTTTTTTCTTCTATTGTCAAATCCCAAATGAAATGTGGGATTTACAAATCCGTGGGGTCCACGGATTTGGATCAAAAAAAGGGGTCCAAATCCGTGGACCCCACGGATTTGTGTCCCTCAACAAACAAAGGATTTGTGTCAACTCCATGATGCTTGGGATTTGGGTTCCAAATCCATCACCCAAATCCCACAAGCAAACGACCCCTAAAGGCTTTCTTCTATTCGCTATATCAGTCAGCCAACGAGCAAAGAGAGTGGGCCTAAGAATTAAACAGACCCAAGCAAATAAAATGCCAACGATCTGCTGAGAGTCGATGGTTAAAAAGGCATACGCTTAGTTACGTCTAGTCACAAGGCAATAGCAAAACGCCTTGTTTAGGGGTTTCGTGCCTAATTAGATACTGGAACACGTTAATGGAGTAAGGCGACATGTAAGTCTCTCCTGAACATTGCTAGATGAAGGTAGGAAGTTAATATTAAAGGAGAAAATTAACGTCAATAACGAAATCAATTTTCTATATCAATATTTTCAATAGCTCAAGAACTTTTATCAACTATTGAGCTATGATTATATGAATTTGTGAGCTATGATTCTATGAATTCGTGAGCTATGTTCTTGTCATTAAGTGTTGAGTAAGTTATTAATCATTTTAACTAAAGTGAGAAAGTGTTGAAGATTATTATTTCATTAATCATGTAATGCGAATAACTATTTTTCTTCCAACGCCTAACCGAGTTAGGCGCTAGGCAAAGCGTCAACACTCGCATTACGCCTAGCGCCTTATTGAACCTTGGCTGAGACCGAAGGAAAAAGAATTAGACAGGGCTTTCAGCCCAGTCTCACTTCTTAGCTTAAAGCAGAATAATTTCCAATCCAGCAGTAGATCGACAAAGAAGGAAAAACAGAGAAGAAACAGAGCAGAAAGAAAAGTGCAGAAACCAGTAAATACAAGACGTTTTTAACGTGGTTCACCCAAGTGCAATAATGTACTTTCATGTCCCAGAATATAGTCTGGGAGACCCTTTGTTGATTTTTTTTTGTTTTGACTCGATTAACACAATTACAAACTATACTACGAATGAAAAAGAACAAGAAGGGAAACAATGAACAACCCAGATGACAGTCTGATATGTTTCACCCACAACAAGATGGATCCTTAACCTCTATACTTGTCACTCCTTTTCTAAAGCTTAGCCCTATACCACAAAGCTTCTTTCCCACAAAAGTACCCTCAATCAGCAACCTCCTCTGAATATATATAGCTAGCAGAGACTAGCCGTTGGAAGCAAATGGGGCAACCCCTTTGATTCCTTCGATTAAGCGATTTCCTTTTGTAAATCTGGACACCTTCAAATCAGCAACGGTCTTGGACAAGGTAGGAGTCAATTCTGACTTGCTATATTTCAACAATCTCTCCCTAAGTCGAATATTGACGATTGCCAGAACCTGCAAAACGAACAAACCACCAGCCATACACACAAGGCACATACAACTCGAACAAGCAACAACTGAAAGCCTGTTACAGCAGCCTATCTTGATAAACATGTTTGTTACAATCATAAAAGGCAGGTTTCAAATCATCAGAGTATCGCTTCTGCTCATTTTTATACTTTAACATCAGATGAAATTTCTTGCAAACCAGAGCAAACTCTTTATCAAAATCATTCTGACTATCAGAATCATAACTAACAACTTTAGATTTAAAAGCTAAGTTCTTTTTACGCTTTTCATCTTCTTGCCCCACTTGCTTAATGACATGTTCATGGCTAAGCAAAGATCCTATTAGTTCATTAATGGTTAAAGTTGCCAAATTTTTTTGCTTCCACAATAGCAGTACGTTTTGGCAACCATTCTTAAGGCAAAGATCTAAGAACTTTGCGATTTAAATCCTTTGCTTGAAAAGTTTTCCCTAATCCCTTTAGTTTATTGATGAGAACAGTAAATCGAGAGTACATTTCATGTATTTCTTCACCATCTAACATATTGAAAGACTCATATTCGTGCATTAAAAGATCAATACGAGATTCTTTAATGTTAGAAGTACCTTCATAGGCGCTTTCTAGAGCAACCCAGATCTTTTTCGCAGTCTCACAGTTCTCGACTTGATCTGCTTCTTCTGGGTTCATCGCAGACTGTAGAGCGTGGATCGCCCCTTGATTCAGCTGTGCGCTTTACTTCTGAGCTGCTGACCAATTGTCTTGCTCATTGATATCCATCTGAACGGGTCCATTTTGGACTATTAGCCATAGCTCTTCATCCACTCCCCACATGAATTGCTTCATCCTCTTTTTCCAGGCAGTATAATTTGATCCAGTGAAGATAGGCGGAAGCTTTAGAGTAGCTTGCCCGAATGAATCTGACGCCATTGAATCGATTACCTTGGTAGTAGTGAGCTTCGTCAAGGCAGGGCTCTGATACCACTTGAAGATGGAATCAGATGGAATTTAGGGATTTTGATTTTGAACCAGAGAGAAGGGGAAGACTGGTGATACAACAAATTGAATTGAGAAGAGGAAAGCTAAAGGCTTTCTTCTGTTCGCTATATTAATCAGCCAAGGAGCAAAGAGAGTGCGCCTAAGAACTAAACAGGCCCGAGCAAATAAAATGGCAATGATCTGATGAGACTAAAGACAAAAGAATTAGACGGGGCTTTGAGCCCGGTCTCACTTCTTAGCTTAAAGCATAAGAATTTCCAATCCAACATTAGATTGACAAAGAAGGAAAAACATAGAAGAAATAGAGCAGAGCAGAAAGAAAAGTGCAGAAAGTAGAAAACACAAGACATTTTAAAAGTGTTTCGCCCAAGTGCAATGGTGTACTTCCATGTCCCAGAATACAGTATGGGAGACCCATTGTTGATTTTTTTTTACTCGATTAACACAATTACAATCTATACTACGAATGAAAAAGAACAAGAAGGGAAACAATGAACAACCCAGATCACAGCCTGATATGTTTCAGCCATAACAAGATAGATCCTCTACCTCTATACTTGTCAATCCTTTTGTAAAGCTTAGTCATATACCACAAAGCTTCTTTCCCACAAACGTACCCTCAATCAGCAACCTCCTCTGTATATATATAGCTAGCAGAGACTAACCGTTGGAAGCAAATGGGGCAACCCCTTTGATTCCTTAGATTAAGCGCTTTCCTTTTGTAAATCTAGACACCTTCAAATTAGAAACGGTCTTGGACAAGGGAGGAGTCAATTCTGACTTGCTATAATTCAACAAGGTGAGGAGCAGTCCAAGGCAGAAAGAAGAGGGCAAAGTATGCTTTGAAAAAAGCATGTTTAAACTTACGTTTTAGTTTGCGTAGATGTTAAGTAGCTTTAGCACATTTTGTTAAAGGATTTTACGATGTATTAGGTGTCAAGAATGCACTAATAGAGTTATGCGCCACTTAGTAGTTCGCGGAGTGAGGCGACACATACAAGGCGCCTACGCATAATTATTGTATTCGTTGGAGCTATATCAATGTTTTAACGAGATCGGTTAGCTTGCTAACCCCCTTAAGGGTTGGAAAAATGACACCCCACCTGCTATTAAATGCAACTTTTAGAATTTAATACTCTTATTAAATACAAATTAAGAATTAGATGCACCATATTAATTATTTACTTTTTTATATCTAAACCTACACAAAATAGAATTCTCTCTCCCTATTTATGATCTTTCCTTTTCCAGCAGCCTCCTACCACCAGGCTTCCTCTGACAGCCACAATTCTCCGGTGAAAATCCACCTGGCAAACTCCCTCCGACCACCTGCAAAAATGTACTATTACATTAAAAAAATATCACTGCACTGATACGTTGTACCACTTCCCTGATATTTGTACCACTGTAATTAAAATACAGATATGAGATTTGTACCAGTACAGTGGTATCGCTACCAGTGCTGAAACGACCTAATATTTTTAAACAACCCGAAATACTCATGGCTCTTGAGCCGACCCAAATAGTATAAAAAAATCTCAATAAAATAAATAAATTCAAGTATTTTCCACAAGACATTCAAACGAAATGCCCTAAACATTTGGGCGGCCCAAATACATGGCAAACAAAACCATCCAAACTCAAAACCTCGAATCTCCAGTTTATAAAATCATAATCATGAACAAAAAATAATGAAAATAACTATAGCTCTATCTTCTTGCTGAGCTCCCCCTTGATCTCGTCCGCTTAGAAGTGGCATCCTGCTTCGGCTCGCCTCTTCTCGGAATCCACCTCCGCAAACCCTTCCTCGACCTAGTGATTGAGAAGGGGTAAATCTCGTCATTACTTCCTAAGGTCTTTGCCCTAGGCAGATCCTTACTAACACATTATTAGTGTTTCCTTTCCTTAAATGAAAGTCGTTCTCGCTTTCATCCCTAATACTTTAGTCCTTAATAACTTATAGAAGTTCTCTACTTCTATCTTAATTCATATATTTACTGCCAGGGTTCAACGCGTTACGTATCGACGTTCGGTGTCCCTATCCTCACGACAATGGTACTAC